TCAATGCAAGAAAACAACAGGAAAGACCTATGCTGTGTCATAAAGCCCATCCTTCACAGAGCTCAGAATAACCAGATATTACCTTTCCTACATGCTGGTGATATCAGAAAATGCCTGCCAAGCAGCTAGGTTGTGGTAGAAATGTTGTCTTCTAAAAAGCCATAATCCAATTCCAAATGCCATCATTTCCTTCCAGTTCAACATGTAAGAATCACTGTTCCCAAACGTACCAACACTTCAGTCACTGTCCTCTGGTGCATGTGAATCAGGAACAGTTTCAGCGCTGTGAATATAATCACAGGGGAGAATTGAGTGAGCTGTATGTCAAAGTGAACATATATTTAAAAGAAGCCAACCACATTCAGCTGCATGTGCCTGTTTTTAAATATACATATACTTGGGACAGCTGGCATTGGGTATGTTCGACTTCATTTAACTGATGGGCGAAGAAGTCAGACACTGTTCATTTGTCAAATAAACAGACATTTCAGACATTTTTTCATGTAGCAACAGAAACACTTACCAATCACAACTTTACGTACTGCCTAATACAATGCCTGTACGTGCAAGAATAAAGTTGAACATAAGCCTATACTACCAAATATCTATATCTTTTTAATTTTGTTAAACATGACACAACATTACATGAATAGAGATTTTGCTGTTATAAAAATATGGAGTTGTGAGCATTAGTGGAACTAAAGGAGTCAGAATAAACATGAAACAGGTCTTGGAGCTGATGAGATGAAGCGTGTGTGTTAGATTGTGTGTGTAGAGACATACAAAATGTGCATTGCTGATGGCCTCCAAGAACACTGGGAAGGCTGGGAACCACTGGGAATATCAATGCAATATTACACACATAGGTTTTTTTTTTTTTTTTAATAAACATCAAATTCAGGACACACAACTACTTTTGGAGAAGTTATATTTCTATGACTGTTTTTCAAGGATGATATGAGAGAGTGGCACAGCTTACCCCAAACATCAAACATACAAATGTATGTATCTTAAGCTTGACAGTATGGATCAAATAGAGCCAGCTTTTTCTTTAGTAGTGTTTACACATGACTTGAAACAGTGGACAGTGCAGAGAGTGGGCATTTGGGGCAGTGAGGACTAGCATCCTAAAGTGCAGCTTCCAAGAGGGAGCACCCATGTAAAGCTACAGATAGCCCTTCTGAAAGATACCCCAGGAGTGCCAGAGAGGGAGGGAGAACAAGCACCCCAGGCAGACGACAAGCTTAAGTCTCAAAATGACCGATACAAGAAGGTGAGAGAGGAGGACAGACCAGCCCTCAAAGAGCTTTGAAACAACCTAAGACGAAAGCCTTTGACGTGCTTAGTGGCACAGGAGGAAGAAGAGGGAGAGCAGGGCACCAGGGCCACGCATACCACTCAACTGACACCATAGAATTCTGCAGGCATCACTGTTAGATCTGAAAGAAGTGCCAGGTGAAGCAGGGAGTTTGGATTAATTGGGACAGTACAGTAGCCCGTAAGACCACTTGGGATGTCACCCAGCATGTCCACTGTGCCTGAGAAGAGGTTCCCTGGAGCACATTTTGACCTGCTGCCTGAAAACCTTGGGAGAGGGGAGGTACAGGGGCTGAAGGCAGTAGCTGGCACCATACGCACTGGAATCCAGTAGAGCAAACACCAGCCTCCAACAAGGCATGACATCGCCTTTGTCAGGGAGGGAGAAAGACCTCCGGTAAAGATGACTGGCAGCTGAAGGTCGATCTCGGGAAGCAGGTGAAGTTTCTGGAACACACTGCAAGGACACTCAGGCCAGATTTGGTCTTAACATCTGACTGTTCTAAGCAAGTAGTTATGTTGGAACTTTCCGTCTCCTGTGAGGACCAGATGGATGAGGCCCATGAGCATATAAGGGGGGAATATCTCAAACCGTTAGAGGATTGTAGGAGACATGAGGCTGCAGGGGATTTGCAGGGCAGTCCGTACATCAGTCATTCAGCCTCCTTGGTATCAGAGGGTTGCAGGAAAGGAGGTTTTCAAGGTGGCTGTGGATTAAGAAGAGCGAGCAATGGTGTAGCGTGCCACTTGGGTCCGGCTGGATCGCCCGGGTGACTGATGATCTAAGACCCGAAACACCACCCCAGCTGGTGTTTCAAGATCATGATAAACAAAGTGATGATATGCAATTTATATGCAAAGAATTGAGGTTTCAAGGATGACAGTAGAGAAACTCAGAAACGGAGCCTGTAGGTGTAAAGGCTACTTTGAGTCAAATAACATGGGATTGTTGACATACAGTCAATGAGTTAAAGCAAGTAAATATTTAACTCAGCCTTAACACTTAGTTATTACTTTATCAAGTACCGTATTGACCTGAATATAAGTCGATGTTTTTTTCTTGGAAATACATCTGAAAAAACGCGGTCGTCTTATATTCAGGGTCTAGACTTTGACATGTCAATAATACACCCACAACAATAGGTGGCGCCAAATACGCATAAAACGAGTGTGCCATGAAATACGTAATGTAATGCGTCTTGTAAAAATCGCGACCAAACTCCCTTTGTGATTTTAAAACGTAAGACAGTACCCAGATTTGAAGACTACAGTAAGATTTAACTTCTACTTTTAATAAGATTTTGGTAGGCTACTATTAGATGGATAGCCTAAATGTCCTAATTCAGATGGGCTACCTGTTTTTTTTTAATGGTATATCAAAAAGTGTATATTTTTTAAATGTGATTGTTGGTACAGTTTACCAGTTTTTACCATACTTTCAAAACAAAAATTAAAATAGGAAAAATATGCAATATGAAAATAATTGAAGACAAAATGTGTTTTACTGAGAAAAAACAAGATTTGGTTTTTAAAAAGCCTTTTTCCAAAAGGTACATCTGGAAAAAGGGGGGTCGTCTTATATTCGGGCCAATACGGTACTAAAAATTCTCAAACAGACGTCCACATTTCAAAGACTTGTAGCCCATAAAAGAAAAATCTCCTTCATGTCTCGATTGTTTCTCTGATAATAAGATTGCATAGGGTGCATGGTCCTGTCTCCTGCTTTTCAGATGTTCCTCCTGAGGAAAAGGCCTCAGTAATCTCACATGTGTCTCCTCTAGTCTCAAACTGTGCTCAGATGTGTCAAGATATCATTTTGAAACTGTGTGTTTATTACCCTGTATGTTTCTATTTGACCACAATTTTTGCTAAACTGACAATCCTTTGAATGAAACAACAAATAATCAGGTCTTCTTAGCCTTAATATTTGAGGAAAATAATAGAAAATAGGTTTCAAACAAAATAAACATTTTAACAATATAGAACGTGAACATAAAACCCTCTTTCTGCTTTATATAGTCCACACCTACATACTGCCCCCTCTCTCTGTCTCAGACTAGACCAGTGCACTCCTCAATAAAGAACACTTTCAAAGGTTTACGCTTCTGCTTATAAACACACACACACACACACAAACACACACACACACACACAGGTGAGAAGTGAAAGTGTTACCTGTGAGCAGGGTGAGCTGTTATATATCTTTGTAAGTCATTGTAAGCCCCCCCTTATAAAAAAAAAACAAGTGGGCTCCCCCAAAGTCCACTGTATAGTTCGAACACTGCCTGTGAGCACTGTCTGCGGAGACTGAATCGCTGGACCATCCTGACTGACACGCACTAAACAACCAAGAGCAGAGAACTGTCTCTCTCTCTCTCTCTCTCTCTCTCTCTCTTTCAGTTATATGTCTATTACAGTTTTTTTCAACTGCTTACACACAAAATATTTCCTTGTCACACAGTTTCTGAAACCTGACACTCAAACAGCAGAAGCACACACCAAATCTGTAAAACCATACACTAATTCTCAGCCTTTGACTCAGTTTTCAATTCCATAAAACACTTTTTGCAAAACACAACACACAGTTCTCTATGCAACACACAGAAACCTAACAGGAAGTATCTTGATTTCCTTTTTCAAACACAACCAATCAAAATGCCACATTAATTCATCAGCGCCTCACACTAACTCCTCACGTGCTTCACTGAACACCAAGCAATCATGACTTTAGAATAGGCCTATAAACACACATCTACACAACTACACATGGCTGATGCACACATGGCTGAACCACAAATGCTTACAGTAAAAAAAAAAGTTTGGTTTCAATCTTGCTCTCATGTTTACCGTGAAGTTTTCAACATCTCTCAGCCTGTTAATTTCAGTCTTGTACAGAAATGTACACAGGAGCTCATGAAAGAAGATCTTTAGGTTTTGAATAACTGTGTGTATATGATATATCCAAAAATATAATATTATGGCAAAGGTGTCTGCAAATGTTTGCTTTTGAGATGTGTTTGTGATACTTTGAATGCAGTGCTTCATTTTGCAAGAGATGTGAGGCATTTTGCATTTTGTGTGTGCAATTCTTGTATTTGTGTGTAAAGTTTTGAAAAAAAGAGGCAAAGTTTTGAAAATGTGTGCAAGCAGTTAAAAAAAAAACTGTAAATACCTGTTGCTGTCTATGGCCCAGATAGAAAATAGCTGTTTGGAGTGTTGCCAAGATTTAATATGAAAAAAAAGGGAGAGGAAGAAGAAGAAGTGTTCACAAGATGGCCATCAGGTGAGCTGACCTGACTTAAAGGACTTTGATCAACACCTAATCAATATTCAGTAGCTTGGCCTTTTCTGATGACGATGTGAACGATGCTGATATGCAGATGTCAAAACAAACCATGGAAAATGGCAAATCATAACAGATGTCTTTTAGATATAGTCTTAAAGTTATAGCATCCGGTTTAATCGTAAGGGTCAGACAGAGGATGGAAATTGAAAATAGTCTTGAAAAACTATGACAGCTCTTATTGGTGAAAGAAACCTTGACTAACAGCTCCCTCTAGTGGAAAGGGGCTAGCAGTGTTACTATGTTGATTCAGTCTTGGTTAATTTTCTAACAGCACACACACACACACACACACACACACACACACACACACACACACACACACAGAGAGGTTACTCACGGGATGCGTGTGGTCGGTGGACTGCAGGAATGAGGAGATGATGAGCAGCGTCTCTGCTGCCACAGGTGTGTCAGTGTAGATACTGTGTGGCTTCCCTGTAACTGCTTCTGGCCCTTCTGCTTTCAGCTGGCGCTCCTGCAGGCTGCCTCCTCTTCTCATGATAGCAGCCAGCGGCTATCACTGTAGAGTTCAGCACACACATTCATGCCCGCTACTGCATTCTGGCTGATTTTTAATTCAGTGTAACCATTTTGATGCACTGCTCTAATTAGGAGTTATAGAGCCCATTTGAAGCACTGAGATTGAACCTGTCATTCATCACTGGATGTGTGGGTCAAAAGAAAGTCTCTAAAGTTGGAAATTAGTGTGGAAGTAAAAGAGAACTGGTCATGGCAATATGTTTATCAAAGGTTGTGGTTAGTCTGTTAAGGAAATATACAATCAACAGACTGCTTGGGATTTTTTGACGTATTTCCATTTTCAAAAAGTGCGGCACGTTAGTCTCTGGTGAAATACAGAGTTCTGGCATGAAACTCTAGATGGCGCAGTCCGATAGGCGTTGTGGATGTATTGGCAGTAGCAAGTCTCGCTACTTCTATTCCGCCAAGACCAAATACATTAACATTGTCATGTACATTACCATGCCAATCCCTCTGAGAGTTGTCATTACAGAAAAATGTTTTCAGTTTTCTCTAGTCATCTATACAGTTCCCTAAACACCACTTAAAATGAGTGTCCACAAGAACATTTAATAGTGATCAATAGATCAAAATAGAAATCAATAAATCAATACTAATGCCACTCAATTAATGTTACAAAGCAGTGTTGATTCTCGATCACTTTTGTTGAAAGAACATTGAAAATACAACTGAGATGTCATTTTAACAATAACATCATATTAACATAACATACAGCATGTACCGTTGATTAAAAAACATTACCATTGATTTCAGTGCACCGAACTACGGTGATGTAGAATCAACATCTCTGATGTAACTCTGATTCAGTGAGATCCACAGTGATTTTCAACATTAAATGAGGCGGCTGAAAAAGTGATGTTGAACCAACATGACTTTAACATTAACACTGACACTGACACATCAGCGTTGACTTTGCATTGTATCAATCTGATTGATCAGTAAATTAAAAACACTGTTAATGAGAAGACCAGAACAGTCATGCTTCATTTATTAGTCAAGATTCATATTTGGAAAGGAAAATACATATTTATGGGAATATTTCAATGAATTCAACTCTTTAGATAATTAATGTCAATGCTGAAAACACGGTGCCCTGTTTGAATCGGGAGACAGCCCTTAAAAATAGTAATAATCTGCATTCTCAGTAGGTCTGCAGGTCTGAGCGCTGTTACAGGAAAACCTCTGAGTCTTAATAAGTACAACACAGAAGTAGTGCATTCCAAAGTAAGTAGTCTTTTTGAGTAAGTGAATCAAACTGACATGCTACTATACGTTCAGATCAAACAGAACTGGACTATAAAGCCGATTTTTGTTTTTAATGGTACAAATATTAAGAAGAGTGAGCAATACCAACCAGTAAATAAAACTGATCATGATGAACTATCTTCTTTGGTTTTCCTGTGAAGATCAGTTTCACATCACAATGTTACAGTGTTACTACTTGAGTTGTGAGAAAGTTGCTGTTTCAGTATTGAGTCAAACTATTCTTAGCATTGTTTTTATTGTCTTAGGGCATGATTTATAACAGATATTAAAATCTAAACATCCACAAATGTTTAGAATAAGCGAGGGATCTTCTGTCTTATACATGTGTTAGACAAAAGACAAACTCCTCAAAATATGCTTCTTAATTGAGCAACACAATATATGTGACCCTGGACCACAAAACCAGTCATAAGGGTGGTCAAATCAATTTCTCGCAATTGAGATTTGTGCATTATCTGAAAGCTATAAGCTATGAAAGAATAAATAAGCTTTCCATTGATGTATGGTTTGTTAGGATAGGACAATATTTGGTCGAGATACAACTATTTGAAAATCTGGAATCTGAGGGTGCAAACACATCTAAATATTGAGAAAATCATCTTTAAGCTCAGGGCGTTTTTTGGTATTTTTGCCTAAATTTGACATACTCAAATTCAAATGTTTACCCTACACACATACAATGGAGGAAATGAAAAAAAAAATGGTTTAATTGTAAAGAAAACCCTTTGAACTACAAAAAATTAGTGTAATTCTTTATAAATAACATTATATATTTTACAAATATTACAATAAACACAAAAAAAACATAGTCAAGTCAAGTCAAGTCACCTTTATTTATATAGCGCTTTTAACAATACAGATTGTGTCAAAGCAACTGAACAGCATTAATTAGGAAAATAGTGTCAATAATGCAAAATGACAATAGTAAACACAAATTTTTCAGTTAAAGACAGTTCATCATTGAATTCAGTGATGTCAACATCCAGCTCAGTTTAAATAGTATCTTTGCAATCAAGTCAACGGTATCGCTGGAAA